CCCCCCCCCCCCGGTTCCAATCACGTCCCCCCTCTCCGGCTCACAGACGGTCAAGCTCCAGGAGGCCCCGGAGCAAGTCCCCGTCGGTGAGCTGCCGCGCAACATGCTGGCCACGCTGGACCGGTACTTGGCCAATAGCACGCGCTCGGTCCCCGGCACGCGCGTGACCATTGTCGGTGTCTATTCCATCTTCCAGGGCCGGGCGAGCCGCGGGTCGAGCGGCGGCGGCGCCGCCGTGCGCAGCGCCTACATCCGTGCCATCGGCATCGAGGTGGATGGGGACAGCTCGGGTCGTGCGCCCAAGCGCTCTTTCACCGAGGCCGAGGAGGCGGCCATGCTGCGTCTGGCCCGGCAGCCGGACATCTACGAGAAGTTTGCCCGGTCGGTGGCCCCATCGATCTACGGGTATGATGACATCAAGCGGGCGGCCACGTGCCTGCTGTTCGGCGGGTCGCGCAAGCAATTGGCCGATGGCATGCGCCTGCGTGGCGATGTCAATGTCCTGCTCCTGGGTGACCCGGGCACGGCCAAGTCCCAGCTGCTGAAGTTCATCGAGCGGGTGGCCCCCATCGGCGTGTACACCAGCGGCAAGGGGTCCAGTGCGGCGGGCTTGACGGCGTCCGTCGTGCGGGATGCCGCTTCGCGGGAGTTCTACCTCGAGGGCGGGGCCATGGTTCTGGCTGATGGTGGTGTGGTGTGCATCGATGAGTTTGACAAGATGCGCGAGGAGGACCGCGTGGCCATCCACGAGGCCATGGAGCAGCAAACCATCTCCATTGCCAAGGCCGGCATCACCACCGTGCTCAACTCCCGGACGTCGGTCATGGCTGCGGCCAACCCGGTGTTCGGCCGGTATGATGACATGAAGTCCCCCGGCGAGGTGTGTGGCCTGTGAGCCAGCCCTTTTCCCATATCCCTTTTTGCCTTCTCTTCCTCCGCCCCTCCCCTCCCGAGGACTTCTGCGCTCGGGTTTGCTGCTGCTGCTGCTGCTGCTGCTGCTGCTGCTCTGACACGCCTGCCCTCTTCTTGGACCTGCCTCTCCCCTTCCCGGTGTATGTGCGCACGCGCGCATGCACGCACACACGCGCGGACTTGACCACCTCACAGAACGTGGACTTCCAGTCGACCATTCTCTCGCGTTTCGATCTGATCTTCATCGTCAAGGACGAGCACAGCCACGACAAGGACATGAGCCTGGCTCGCCATGTGATTCGAGTGCACTCCGGCGGCAGCAGCGCCAGTCTCTCGGCCTCCGAGCAGGCGGCCGGCGAGTTGGACATGTCCACCATGAAGACCTTCATCTCTTATGTTCGGTCGTGCGTAGGCCTCGCCCTCTCTCCCGCCCTCTCTCTCTCCCCTCTCCCTCGCCTGCTTCCCCCTCCTTCTTCCACAGGGCCCCCCCCCCCCCACTTGCTCCGCCTCGACGCGCCCCCATGCGCCGCTGACCGCTGACGCTCATGCCGCCCTTCCTGCCATGCTCCTGCCTGTGGCCACAGGCGCTGTGCCCCCCGCCTCTCGCCGGAGGCGGCTGACAAGCTGGCCAACCACTTTGTGTCCATTCGCTCGGCGGTCCGCGCGCACGAGGCCGACTCGCACACTCGCTCCACCATTCCGATCACCATTCGCCAGCTGGAGGCCATCATCCGCATTTCGGAGAGCCTGGCCAAGATCCGCCTGGCTCCGTTTGCCGGGCCGGAGCATGTCGAGGAGGCGCTCCGCCTCTTCCAGGTGTCCACCCTGAGTGCGGTCCAAAGTGGCCAGATGAGTGCGTCATGCGCCTGCCTCTTTCTTTGCCACAGGGGCCAGGAGGATGGGCATCCGCTCGCCACCTCGCCCGCGCTTCTAGCAGCCCACTGACCCGCCCGCCCCCCCTCCCCCCGCCCCCCCCCCCCCCTTCCTTCTCCCTCGGCCTGCCCGTGTGTCCGCAGTTGACGGCGTCATGCGGGACAATGTCCTGGAGGAGGTCGAGCGCGTGGAGCGGGAGATCCGCCGCCGGGTGCCGGTCGGCTCGCGCATCCCCTCGCAGCTTCTGAGCAACGACCTGATCGGCCGGCGGAACTTCTCCAAGACCGCCGTCGAGAAGGCCCTGCAGGTGATGCTCCGCCGGCAGGAGCTTCGCCACATCAACCAGCGCCGCGTGGTGGAGCGGATGTTCTGAGGGCCATTTGCTTGTCGGCTGTGTTCGCCCGCCCCCCTGCGGCCTCGGTGGCCTCCTGGCCTCGTTCCCCTCGGCTCCCTCTCTCCCGGTGTCCCGTCCTTGTGTTTATGCTCGGCTCTTTTTGCCAGTCCCATCTCCCCCCTCCCTCGCTCCGGCGCCTTCATTCAGACATACACACATGTCTTCATGCGTGCATGAATATATCTGCCCTCTTCAACCTCGGATGTGTGTGTGTGTGTGTGGGTGTGTGTGTGTGTTGCCTTTTCCTTTTTCTTGCCACGACCGCATGACCCATCCGCGCGCGTGCGCGATTGTATTGCCAGGGTGCGCCAGCACCAAATGGAAAAAGAGAGAGAGAGGAAGAGGGAGGGGATGGGACAGGGGCAGGACTGGGGGAGGCGGGGCTCAGACAAAGAGGAAGATGAAGACCACCGCCACAATGGTCAACAGGCCGATGAGCTTCAGCGCCAGGGACTGCCCGCTCGACAGGTACTTCAGGTACTTGACCAGCTCTCGCTGGCCGGCGGACACGTTGTGCTCGGCCTCATCGACATAGGTGTCGATGCGCTCGACCTGCTCGGCCTGCTGGGAGATCAGCCGGGTGAGCTGCTCGAAAACCCCGCCCAACTGGGCCAGTGTCGCCTCGATGGCGCGAATTTCGCTGTTCTGCTCATTCATGTAGGTGGCCGACATGTCGTGCATCGGGTTCTGGTGGTGCTGCATCAGGAGAGCCCCTTCGCCGGGATCCCCGGCGTAGAGCGGCTGGACGGCCGGGTTGCCGCCGGCATACAGCGCATCCTCCTGGGACGTGGGCCGGATCTGGATCGCCGTGGCCCCGCCGTTGCTGGACATCATCGGAGGTGACCCGCGGAAGCGGGCTGCAAATGGATGGGCACGCGCGCGCGCGCGCGCGGCCGCCAGAGAGGGAGAGAAGGACCAGGCAGAGGGCAGCCCCAGGACATGGGTTAGCAGGGGGCAGGGCAATTAACACGGGCCGCCGGTGGGGGGGGGGGGGGGAAGGCACGCACCCGATGCCTCGGCGTCGGGCGGAGCATAGCGCGGTGCCGGCGGCTGGAAAGGCATCGATGGGGGGGTCCCGGCGAATTCGTCGCGCCGGGTTTTCTGGGTTCGGACGTTCTTTTTTTTTTCCCCCCCCCGAGGAAGGGAACAGATGGGCGGAGCCAAAAGCATGTCAGGGAGTGGTTGCAGCCCGAGGGCAAGACCGGAGCCGGTGCAGAGCGAGGGCAAGACCCCCCCCTCCCCCTCCCATGCGGGCGGCCAAGGACGCACAGTGGTCCGCTGCTCGAGGATATTCTTGAAGTCGGTGGAGCTCGAGGCAAGCTGATTCTGAAGGAAGAGGATGACCTGGTTGGCGTGCTCGCGCATGTGCGCCAGATTGGACACCGCCGGCGCGGACTCCGACCGGCCGAAGTCCCGGTTGTTCAGGGCCCGCTGCAGGTAGGGGATGTTGATGTTCAGCCGGGAGATCTCCTGGCGGATGGCATCGGCCAGGCTCTGGAACTCGTTGGTCGAGTCGTCGAAGACCGAGTACTTTTGAGAAACTGCACTCGGCACACGGGGCGGGCCCAGGAGGGGACGGGGTTAGATCCCACGGGGGAGCAACCGGAGGGAGTGCGCGCGCGCGCGCGCGCGCAAACGGCAGAGTCATCCCGCCACACCGGGTGCGCACCTTGGGCCAGCAGCTTCAGGCGATCGCTGAGTCTGGCCAAGTCGCGACTCAGCTCGCTGGCCATCTGCAAGAAAGCCGACCGGGCCGGGGCCGGTTGGGCGGCGGCTTTCCGCGCGGCGGCCGCCTGCCGCACAGGATCTCGCTGGAGAGCGCTGTTGACCGCGAAGCGGAACTCAGCCGTCCGATCCCGCGGGCCGAGCCCGGCACCCGGCCCGGGCGCCTGACTGGGAAGGATCGCCGCGAAAGACATCCTACGGCGGTGGCGTGCGGAGAGGCAAGAGAGAAAGGAAGCTTGGGGAGGGAGGGGGGGGGGGAGGGCGGGAGGAGAGGGGGAAGGGAGCGAGGGACTGGGGAGAAATCTACACTGTGACCGGGGGCGGGGGAGGCTCCCAGGACGGGGGGAGGGCCAGGCAGGCGGGGCACGTGCGGCTGGCCAAGGCGGGGAGGCCTGGACGAGGGGTGGGCAGCCGGGCGGGCGGGTGGGCGGGCGGGAGGAGGTGGAGCGGAGAGGGGGAGAGATGGCTGCCGCGCGGCCCGAGCCGGGTCGCGGGGGCCCGGCGGCGCGCCCCTTTTCTCTCCCCTCCGGATGGGGCCCCAGCCAGCCCTGGAGAAGGCCCCTCTTCCCGACCGCCCCCTCGTCGCCGGAGGCTGTCGATTAATCCGGCGGCCTGCCATCGCTGGCGGAATCCTGTGCCGCGCGCCCCGGCGAAAATCTGGGGGAAAATAAAGCCAGATAATAACACCCCCTCCCCCCGCACATGGGGATCTCTGTCGGCCTCGCTCGGTCCGGGCGGGAATTCTCGCGCCGGGCCCGTTCCGCCGCCACCCCGGCGCGGCCGCCCGGGCTTCTTCTTTTTCCTTTCCATTGCCCCCCCCCCCCCCCCCAGCGCCCCTCCTGCCCTCGTCGCCTGCTGGCCCCAGGGGGCGAGGGCGTGGATTGGGCCGTGCCGGCGGGAGGAACACCCCGAATGCGTTGGCATTCGGCGGCAAGCCGTCACAAAGCCGCGCACACGTGATGGGGACGACGGGCCCGATCGGGCCCCACCCCTTGGCGGCGGGGGGGGGGGCGCGAGAAAACGAGAGGAGGACGGGACGGCGGCCGTGCTCTGGGCGGCGTACGGAGGTGCACAGACACCCGTGGCCACCTTGTGACGGGCTCCGTGTTTATTCGAATACTATACAGCTGGGCAGTAGGGGAGGGTGTCTGTGTGTGTGTGTGTGTGTTTGTGGCTGCGGCGGCGCCGCGATCGCAGCCGACCCAGTCGCGCCAGGAGAAAAAGGCGAGGCGAGGAGGTGGAGCGGGGAGATCAAGGACAGTGTTGTGGAGGGGGGGGGGGCGCCGCAAGTGGGCAGGTGGGCGGGCGGCGTCATGGCAGCGCGAGCATCGAGGCACGATCTCTGTCGGCCCGGGGGGGGGGAGGGTGCCCCCACCGGGGCTGGCCACGAGACAAATTGACCTCCCGGCCGGCGAGCAGATGGGGGGAGGGCGCCCCGGGGGAGGAGAGAGCGACAGACGGAGGGCGGGGGGCACACCAGGCAGTTGTGCGCGTGTGCCGACGCGTGGCGCTTACTCCTCCATCTCGTTGTCGGAGTCGCCGTCCTCGGCGCCAGCGTCGGCCACGGTGACACCCTTGCTCTGGAGCTCGGCCACAAGCTCGGTGGCGTGCTCCAGCAGCTCCTCCTCATCGGAGCCCAGGGTCTTGTAGAGCTGTGTGTGCGGTGTGTGCGGTGTGTGTGCGGTGTGTGCGGTGTGTGTGTATAGGATGAGGGTCCAGGTCGGCAGTCAGTGTGCATGTTTGTGCCGGGCCAACGCCAGAGGGAGTAGGCCCCCGGATGCCGGGAGGGGGAAGGAGGCCCACACGCACCGTCAGGGCCTGGGTCAGGAACTCCAGCGCATGGGGCAGGTCCCCAAGCAGGTAGGCCGCCCAGCCGGCCAGGTACCAGACACCGATGACCTCGTCATCCTCGCTGATCAGCTGCTCGGCGATGTCCAGGCCCACCTCATGGCGACCGAGCTCCAGCAGCAGCTTGACCGCCTGCATGCGGAGCTCGAAGGCCGGCAGGTCGGCATGGTGCGCCGAGTCCACCTCCAGGGCGCCGCCGTCGGGATCGTCGGCCCCCTCGTCCGAGGCATTGTTGGCCTCCTGGTTGATGGTCGGCACATACCACAGCGACAGGCACTGGTCCAGAGCGGCCCCGGCGCCCGAGGGGTCCTCCTGGGAAATGCGCAGGCTGCACTGCATCAGGAAGGCCTCCGGGTTGGTGGGGTCCGCCTGGATGGCCTGCTCCACGAGGGTCACACACTGCTGCTCGGCGTCGTCATCATCGCAGCAGTCCGTCAGGTAGATCTCGGCCATGGTGCAGAAGGCCGACGAAAGCTGCCTGATGAGGCCGGGCTGAGGGGGGAGGGGGGGGCATGTGTCAGCACACGGGCGAGGCCCGCAGCAGAGCGGGGAAAGGGGATCCTCCCCCCACGGCAGGGAGACATTTCACCTGCCCGGTCCTCTGCACGAACGGGGGGGGCCGGGGGGTCGGGGCCGGGGAACGTACATGGTACTCGGCCGGGGCAATCTGAAGGTCGCTCTGGAGGACCTCCACACCGCGGCGGAAGAAGCCAAGGGCCTCGTGGCCGGCGTGCAGCTGGCCCAGGGTGAGGAACTTGTCGTGCCCGGTGGTCGGCGAGATGTCGACACACTTCTTGAGGACCTGTTGGGGATTTGCGTTGACAGGTGCGTGTGCGTGTGCGTGTGCGTGCGTGTGTGTGTGCGTGTGTGTGAATGAGGGCATGGGCCCGAGGGGCTGGCGAGGGTTTCCCCGGGCGTGCGAAGGAGGTGCACAAGCGTGGCGCAAGGGCAGGAGACACACGGAGAGAGAGAGGGCGAGGAGGGGCGCGGGGGGACAGCAAAAGGAGGCTCCGCACCTGGAAGGCCTGGTCCACCTCGCCCAGCTCCAGCAGCGCGGCCGCCTGGAGCTCCAGCGCATGGATGTTATCCGGCTCCTTGGAGATGGCGGCCGAAACGTAGCGCAGGGCCGAGGAGAAGTCAAAGCGGTCGAGGTAGATCTGCGTGCGCTCGAGGAGCTTCTCCACCGGCAGATCACTCATCCGGGTGGAGGTGGTCTTGAGGGCCATGCGCTTCCGAAGGCCAGGGCTCTTGGTCATGTTGGGGGCGCGATCAGAGGGGGGAGGGGGGAAAGGGA